TTTTTTTTTTTTTTTTTTGAGACAGGATTTTGCTCTGTCAACCAGGCTGCAGTGCAGTGGCATGTGCAGCTCACTACAGCCTTGACATCCTGGGCTCTAACAATCATTCCACCTCAACCTCCCAGGTAATTGGGACCACATGTGCATGCCACCATGCCCAATCTATTTTTTTCTTTTTTTTTTTTGGAGAAGGAGTCTAGCTTTGTCGTCCAGACTGGAGTACAGTGGTGCAATCTCAGCTCATTGCAAACTCTGCCTTCCAGGATCAAGCAATTCTCCTGCCTCAGCCTCCTGAGTAGCTGGGATTACAGGTGCACACCATGCCTGGCTAATTTTTGTATTTTAGCAGAGATGGGTTTCACCCAGCTGACTTTTGTAATTTTTGTAGAGACAGGTTTCACCATCTTACCCAGGCTGGTCTTGAACTCCTGGGCTCAAGTGATCTGCTTACCATGTTGGCCAGGCTAGTCTCTAACTCCTGTCCTCATGATCCTCTTGCCTCGGCCTTCCAGAGTGCTGGGATTACAGGTGTGAGCCACCATGTCTAGCCCAAATTTTTAAAAAGTTTTTGTAGAGATGAGGGTCACACTTTGTTGTCCAGGCTGGTCTTGAGCTCCTGGGCTCAAGACATCCTCCCACCTTAAAGTTTTGGGATTACTGGCATGAACCACTGTACCCAACACATTTCACAAATACTTATTGCAGGAGTAGCAACATCCCTTCACGTAGCTGAGGAGTTCTCCTTAGGAGTGGGCAGCCAAGGAGGAAGGACGGCCTCGTGAGGAAGGCTTCACCAAATGAAATTGTGAAGCGCCATGAGAATGGGGAATGGGGGCTAAGCTGGAAGGTGGAGGAGTTGGTGTGTGCTGTTGGACTACTCTGCGTAAGCTGGCTCCCTCTCACCATAGCCCCCAGGCTGTTGACTTTGCCTCCCACTTCAGAGGAAATGGAAACTTAGATGTGAGCTCTCAACTACCTGCCTCCAAGCCCCTTCTCTCTAGTTCTATTCAGTGTCACTCCCCTCTCTAATCCTTGTTCCCTTTTCAAAGTTCATTCTGGGTGGGCACAGTGGCTCCCACCTGTAATCCCAGCACTTTCAGAGACCAAGGTGGGCGGATCACTCGAAGTTAGGAGTTCAAGACCAGCCTGCCCAATATAATGAAACCTTGTCTCTACTAAAAATACAAAAATATTAGCTGGTAGTGGTGACGGGCAACTGTAATCCCAGCTACTCAGGAGGCTAAGGCAGGAGAATTGCTTGAACCCAGGAGGTGGAGGTTGCAGTGAGCCGAGATCACACCACTGCACTCCAGCCTGGGTGACAGAGCAAGGCTGTCTCAAAAATAAAAAAACATTATTAAGTGGATTTATTTCAGTTTGTTTGTTTGTTTGTTTGATATAGGGTCTCATTCTATCACCAAAGGCTGGAGTGCAGTGGTGCAATCAGGGCTCACTGCAGCCTCAAACTCCTGGGCTCAAGCGATCTTCCCTCCTTGGCCTCCCAAGTAGCTGGGATCACAGGTGTGCGCCACCATGCCCAGCTAACTTTTGTAATTTTTGTAGAGACAGGTTTCACCATGTTGCCCAGGTTGGTCTTGAACTCCGGGGCTCAAGTGCTCTGCTCGCCTCAGCCTCTCAAAGGGCTGGGGTTACAGGTGTGCGCCACCACGCCTGGCTTCACTTCAGTTTTTAAATTTTAGTCATGCTCATTTTGAAATTTGAGTCTTATATTTGACTCAAAGCTCTCCCCTTTGCCCCACTGAGGTGAGCAGAAAGAGGGGTGGAGGCTGCTCAGCTCTCAGCACCCACTTCCTTGCATTAAGTTTCTCAGCATTGGACTGAGGTGGACAGAAGGGGACAAAGAATTTTCCATTGGAAGAATCCATCAGTGAGCCATTACTACTGGTCTAGTTTGTATGGTGGGGTAGGGGCTTCCAACTGGCCCATTGATGAAGGACTCAACCCTTGACACTTGAGAGGTCTCTTGTGGTCCCTGAGAGATATGGCTGCATCTTTGCACTGGATCTCAGCATCCTTTCATGCAAGCACCTTTTTTTTTTTTTTTTTTTTTTTTTTTTGAGACAGAGTCTTGCTCTGTCTGGAATGCAGTTGTGCATACACAGCTCAGTGTAACCTTCACCTCCTGGGCTCAAGCCAGCCTCCCACCTTAGCCTCCCAAGTAGCTGGGACTACAGGCAGGTGCTGCCATGCCCGGCTAATTGTGTGTGTGTGTGTGTGTGTGTGTATAGAAACAGGGTCTTGCTATGTTGCCCAAGCTGATCTTGAACTCCTGGACTCAAGCGACCCACCTGCCTTGGCCTCCCAAGGTGCTAGGATTACAAACGTGAGCCACTGCACTAGGCCAGTGCAAACACTTCTTTGCGATCCTTCAGTAGATCTCAGCAGTCCTGTACTCACAATCTTATCAACCCTCTGTGGCCACAACTCCAGGCCTGCTAGCACAGGTAGGATCCAGGTTCCATACCTTCCCAGGGCCTGAACTTGGTCATGCAGCCACTGTGTACTCCCACTGTCTGTACTCTCTACCATCCTTCCTCAGGGCTTCCAGTCTCTGGAAGCACCTTGGCCATGAAACTAGCCTGGTGGCCTAGAGGACATCCTACTGGAACTAAGATGTGATTCTCTTAGGCCCCCTCTCTCAGCTGCACTCTCTCAAAAAGGAAGCTCTCCTTGGTTCTATTGAAAAGGTGTCTCTCTGCCAGCTGCCAGGGCCTGGGGCCACTAGGCCAGCGCCTGTCAATGCTGGTGGGGGCAGGATCATTCTGTCTCTTGTCCACCCCCCAGCCCTCTCGCTTCTAACACAGGGTACCAGCTGGGGCCCACAGATGCTGGGGACGAGTTCTAGCCCTGCCTCTGCCCTGGGGCAACCCCTCCCTGTCCTGATCTCCCTGCTCTGCCACCCCTCTCCTGGGGCACTCAGTGGCTGTCATGTGGCTACATCCTGTGGCTGGGGGGCCCAAGACAGGACAGCAAAATGGTTCATTTTCCGTGGAATCTTATCCCTTTGTTGCCCTAGTTCTCACTCTTCCCAAGCCTCCTGGGACTGGGACACATTTGCAATAAAGGAAAGGTTTGTGGTGCCCATTGCAGCAGGTATCTCATGGGGAAAAAAAATATGAAAAGGTGTCTTTCTTTGGTCCATTTCATTTGTAAGAACAAACCTGAAAAAAAAATATTTATCACTCTGAGTACTTCTGAAAATGACCCATGGTTTCACTTTCTGACGATATCATTCCTCTTCCTCTTTCCTAGGAACCTGATGAGAATAAAATTTCCTTGACCTTGAAACCTAAGCAATAGTTTTTCTTGGAAGCTACACTATAGGGTCAATTGATTCTTCTCAATGTTATCAAAGTAAATATACATAGTGCAAAAATCAAGTAATGCAGAGAGTTTATAATGAAAAGTAACGGTCCATCTTCCGCCCCATCCTTCTACTCAGTCACAATCCAGATATAACAGCTTTGAATGTGCATGTCCTGGTATTTATCTCTATTGCTCTAAAGAGTATTGTTTCAGGAAAAACTCTGCAAACAGTGTTTTTCCTCTGTTCTCATACCACCACAACAATCATCAACACAAAATAAGACTTCTGTGACCAAATGTGTGAGGTTTTTTCCCACACACACCAAGCCGTGAACACCAGAGGGGTGATCTCCAATTCACTGCCAACACTGTGGATCCAGAGATAGCATCAGATCCCACAGCTCAGTCTCCAAGACTGCTGCCCCCAACTCCCCAGACACCAGTCACAAGTCCGGGCCCCTGGAACTTCAGACCAATCAGCTTCAAGTTGTGGCTCTCACAACTCACAGAATACAGGGAAGCATTTATATTTACCAGTTTATTATAAAGGATATTGCAAAGGACACAGATGAAGAGATGCATAGGGTGAGGGATAGGGTAAGGGGTAGGGAGTTTCCATGCCTTCCCTGGGGCACCACCCTCCAGGGGCTGACGCAAGGAAGGGAAGGTCAGAGAGATTCCATTTCCTAAGGCCTAACATACCCAACATGATAACATAAGACTGTAACAAGGGCTATGAGAGTTATAAATAAGCCAGGACCTGTGAACGAAAACATATATATATATATATATAAACATCATGAGTATGTTTATGCTGGCCAGGCATGGTGAATCATGCCTATCATCCCAATACTTTGGGAGGCCAAGTGGGGAGGATCACTTGAGGCCAGAAGTTTAAGACCAGCCTGGGTAACATAGCAAGGCCCCATTCCCATCTCTTCAAAACATAAATTTTTTAAATTGTAGGGAAAAAAGAGTTTGTTTATGTTGCTTTTTGGAGAAATTCTTCAAGAGTTAAAAAAGAGACAAAGAGAAAGTATGAGAGGAAAGATAGACAAAGAACCAGGAGTCAAACATTTGAATAAAAGGAAAAAACTGAGAAAGTGCAGAGAAGGAAATTCTATCCACCCACCTACCTATCATCTATCTTTCTATCTGCCTGTCTATCCATCTGGTTCCCCAAGGCTAAAGAAGGTGAGATTCTCATTTCTGTTTGTTGAACAAAGTGGCTGTCTTCTGACATGTACCTCTTCTTAAGTCCAGTGTTCTTTCAACCTCATTGGTCTCTGCAAAACCCAATTTCACAGGCCCCTACTGAGAACCAGTTTCCAGTCTCCACTTCTTTTTTTCCCTCTTTGTTCGTCTTCCCCTATTGCTCTCTTTTTTCCTGTACAAATGATCTGCAACAAAACCTCTCCCATGTGCATGCCTAGAGGGTGAGTTATCCCAGGTAGCTAACGCTTTGTTCCCTTAAGAATAAATCCCCAGGCCAGGCAGGCAGGTGGCTCACGCCTGTAATCACAGCACTTTGGGAGGCAGAGGTGGGTGGGTCACTGGAGGTCAGGAGTTGGAGACCAGCCCGGCCAACACGGTGAAACCCCCTGTCAACTAAAAAAATACAAAAATTAGCTGGGCCTGGTGGCACACACCTCTAATCCCAGCTACTCGGGAGGCTGAGCTAGAATGGCTTGAACCCAGGAGACAGAGGCTGCAGCAAGCCTAGATTGAGACACTGCACTCCATCCTGGGCTGCAGAGCGAGACTCTGTCTCAAAAAATGAAAATAAAATAAAATAAAAAAATCCCCAATACATCTTAGATAAATCACAAAAGAATCATGTTGAGCAAAAAAGTAAGCTGCAGAATGCTGTGTATACAAGAGCACTAGTTATATATTACTGGTTTTGCCACATACAACGTTATCAATAGCCAAAGAACATTATATTCTATCAAGCCAAAATGTCAGTAAAAAAACAGTTTGCGGGCCGGACGCGGTGGCTCAAGCCTGTAATCCCAGCACTGTGGGAGGCTGAGGCGGGTGGATCACGAGGTCAAGAGATCGAGACCATCCTGGTCAACATGGTGAAACCCCGTCTCTACTAAAAATACAAAAAATTAGCTGGGCATGGTGGCGCGTGCCTGTAATCCCAGCGACTCAGGAGGCTGAGGCAGGAGAATTGCCTGAACCCGGGAGGCAGAGGTTGCGGTGAGCCGAGATCGCGCCATTGCACTCCAGCCTGGGTAACAAGAGCGAAACTCCGTCTCAAAAAAAATAAAAATAAAAATAAAAATAAAAATAAATTAAAAAAAAAAACAGTTTGCAACTGAAAATCCAAACCATAATATAACAACTTAATGAAGGTACTATGCCAATAATACAAACACATTTTAAAATTTTCAGCCAAATTAAGTCTTTGTAGTAAGAGTGGCTTTATAGCAGCCTAATTCTGCCGCCTGCCTCGGCACCTTGTTACATCATTAATAGTGCTCAGAAGCATGAATCTGAAATAGCACTGTGTAAACATGCATGGTGTTTCCACTAACTAAACCGTAACACAGGAAATTGATTCTCGTGCAACCAGGATTCCTGAATATCTCCCAATGATCTCTCAAGGATCATTTTGACTATAATATGCAAATGAAATGGCCAAGCGCCCATTCAGTGGATGAAGGGAACCCAACCCCTCCCCAGGATCTCCGTGAATTCCTGGAGGCTACTCCTATTAGTCCATCCTGCAGCCTGCACCCCACTGTCACTAGGAGCTTATCAGCTGCTGTTCTGGCTCATTGTCCACAGGTTGCCTGTGGCTTGGAAAATCATGCACACATGTCATTCCTCCTAGGCTCTACTCATACAAGCTTGTGTGTTACACAGTTTTTTTTGTTTTTGTTTTTTGAGACAGAGTTTTGTTCTGTTGCCCAGGCTGGAGTGTGGCGGCACGATCTCGGCTCACCGCAACCTCTACCTCCTGAATTCAAGCGATTCTTCTGCCTCAGCCTTCAGAGTAGCTAGGATTACAGGCATGCAGCAGCCTGCCCAGCTAATTTTTTGTATTTTTAGTAGAGACGGGGTTTCACCATGATGACCAAGCTGGTTTCAAACTGCTAACCGCACGTGATCTGCCCACCTCAGCCTCCTAAAATGTTAGGATTACAGACGTAAGCCACTATGCCTGGCCTTTGTTTTAGTTTTGAGATGTAGTCTTGCTCTGGCATCCAGGCTGGAATGTGGTGGCACGATCTCGGCTCACTGCAACCTCTGCCTCCTGGCTTTAAGCGATTCTCCCGTCTCAGCTTCCCAAGTAGCTGAGACTACAGGCGCAAGCCACCACACCCAGCAAATTTTTGTATTTTTAATAGAGATAGGGTTTTGCCATGTTGGACAGGCTGGTCTTAAACACCTCACCTGAAGTGATCTGCCTGCCTCAGACTCCCAAAGTCCTGGGATTACAGGCATGAGCCACTGCACCCAGCCATGTTATACAGTTTTATTGGAGGTTTGATGGTAACAAAAGACGACATCACAGCATAACCTAGGTAGCAATTTAAGGCTGAACATGACACATAACTTTCCTAGAAACGCCTTGGTCATTCGCTACTACAGGAACTTCCTAACCAGGCTCTAACTTGCTGCTCTCTTCTTGACCTCTCCCTCTGCTGCTAACCTTTTCCAAGACTTTCCCCCTCTCTGGTCTGTCAGCCTCCAGCCCCCAAATTCCTGTTAATTCTCTCATGCAGACCAACTCAGTTTGCTCTATATCTTCAGCTTCACCCTTCTGACCATATCTCACTCAAAGAGACCTGTCCAAGTATTTTTGTAACCCTCACCTCAAACAAAAGCTCTCAATAGTCCCTCTCCCCTGCTATGTCTTGTCCTTGTCATTAAAAACAACTGCAGTCAATTATTGCTTTAAATGGCACCTTTCCCCTCCTGCCACATGTTTGAAAGAGCAGTGATGTCTACCGTTTCTAGAGTGCCCAGAAGTTACATGCTTGATCTCCAGTCCTCACAAACCTCGGTGAAGTATAAGGTATCATTCCCATATTACAGATGAGGCTCACAGATGACTTGCCTGAGTTCCCCCAGCTGCTAATTAGTAGGGTATGGCTGTGAACCAGTGCCTGATTCCTAAGCAGATGTCTGCATCTCTACACAACACAGTAGATTGCCTGGTATGGTGGCTCACGCCTGTAATCCCAGCACTTTGGGAGGCTTAGGCAGGTGGATCACCTGAGGTCAGGAGTTTCAGATCACTCTGGACAACATGGTGAAACCCTGTCTCTACTAAAAATATAAAAATCAGCCAGGGGTGGTGGTGGGTGCCTGTAGTCCTGGCTACTCTGGAGGCTGAGGTAGGAGAATCACTTGAACCCAGGACGTGGAGGTTGCAGTGAGCTGAGATTGTATTATTGCACTCCATTCTGGGTGACGGAGTGAGACTGACTCAAAAAAAAGGCCTGGCGTGGTGGTTCATGCCTGTAATCCCAGCACTCTGGGAGGCCGAGGTGGGCAGATCACCTGAGGTCGGGAGTTCAAGACCAGCCTGACCAACATGGTGAAACCCCGTCTTTAAAAAAAAAAAAAAAAAAAACACATGGTAGATAACTGCCCCACTCCACCCCACACCAGGATGTCTTTAATTTATGCCTCCTCTTCTCTCTTCATTCTTCTCAGGATTCCACTGCAATGAGTTGGTGGAGGAACAATTTCTGGATCATCTTAGCTGTGGCCATCATTGTTGTTTCTGTGGGCTTGGGCCTCATCCTGTACTGTGTCTGTAAGTGGCAGCTTAGACAAGGTAATGGCCATCTTACCTGGGCAACTGGAGGGGGGAGCCAGGTGATTATCAGTACAGTAGAGCTCCTTAGGGCAAGAAAATAAATTCTAGGCCTGAATGGGCTGAATTTGGGATTAAGCATCTTGCATTCTGGGTTTGAGTCCTAGCCCTGCCACTACATTGTGGTTTTGGGCCTCAGTTTCCTCATGTGCATAGTGAAGGGAGGGACATCAACTAATCTCCAAGAGCCCTCCAGCCCTATCATCTGAGTGAAAGCAGAATCTGTTTCAAGGCACAGTATACTCAAGTGCTTTCCCTTTCCTATGTGGCTGCTGATAACAGCATCTTGCAAGAACACAAGTATATGGAATATTAAGAACCGTCTTGGCTGGGCACACTGACAGCATTTTAGGAGGCCCAGGAAGAGGATCACCCGAGGTCAGGAGTTCAAGACCAGCCTGACCAAAATGGCGAGACCCTGTCTCTACTAAAAATACAAAAATTAGCTGGATGTGGTGACAGGCACCTGTAATCCCAGCTACTCAGGAGGCTGAGGCAGGAGAACCACTTGAACCCGAGAGGCAGAGGTTGGAGTGAAATCATGCCACTGCACTCCAGCCTGGGCGACAAGAGCAAGACTCCAACTCCAAATAAATAAATAAATAAATAACTGTCTTGAGGAATAAAATGTGGACTCAACCCACAGCCAACATGTTTGGCCACCATGATTGCCTTCTCTGAGACCATATTCTGAATTTTCTGGTATTATCCCCACCTAGACCAGAAACCTCTTAGTACCCTCAGACATAAATAAGTGGCCTGAGGATTAACACTAACTTTAGATTATCTGTAAGTGGGGTTTCAACTTTCCTGTTCATCTCCAGAAACATGAAAGCCTTGATTCAATGGTGTGTTACCTTGACATCTCATCCCTTTAAATAATGACTTAAGCAGGAAGTACACCTGGGGATGGTAAGCATACTGAGAGGTACAGCTACCTTCCCTGCATAGGCATCACTCAATGATCAAGCCACTATCCACTCACTGCATCTAAATACAGCCTCAAAATTCCTGCTCAGCCGAGTGCTGAAAGGTCAGGGACACACAAGAAGTGAAATCTTTTTGTCATTCTTCTCAATCTCTCGTTAGAGATAAGAAAATTGGGCCGGGCGCGGTGGCTCAAGCCTGTAATCCCAGCACTTTGGGAGGCCGAGGCGGGTGGATCACGAGGTCAAGAGATCAAGACCATCCTGGTCAACATGGTGAAACCCCGTCTCTACTAAAACTACAAAAAAAATTAGCTGGGCATGGTGGCGCGTGCCTGTAATCCCAGCTACTCAGGAGGCTGAGGCAGGAGAATTGCCTGAACCCGGGAGATGGAGGTTGCGGTGAGCCGAGATCGCGCCATTGCACTCCAGCCTGGGTAACAAGAGCGAAACTCCGCCTCAAAAAAAAAAAAAAAAAAAAAAAAAGAAAATTAAGGTTCAAAGGAAGATGGGAGCTTAACTGAGATGCCATAGGAATTGGTGGCAGAGTTGGGACCAGAACTCAGGTCTGCCAGGCTTCCAGTTCAATGTTCTTTCTCCTCTATTGTAATTAATTTTTTAATACAAAAAACTATATTCTGGGACCCTACAGTCCTCTATCCTTTTGTCTCTCTCTTTTTTTTTTTTTTTTTTTCAGACAGTGTCTTACTCTGTCATCCAGGCTGCAGTGCAATGGAGTGATCTCAGCTCACTGCAACCTCCACCTCCTAGGTTCAGCTGATTCTCCTGCCTCAGCCTCCTGAGCAGGTGAGATTACAGGCATGTACCACCACAACCGGCTAATTTTTGTATTTTTAGTAGAGACGGGGTTTCACCATGTTGGCCAGGCTGGTCTCAAACTCCCAACCTCAAATGATCCACCTGCCTTGGCCTCCCAAAGTGCTGGGATTACAGGCATGAGTCACTGTGCCCAGCCTTTTTAAAAAGTTTTCATTCTTGCTGAGTGCAGTGGCTCACACCTGTAACTCAGCACTTTGGGAGGCTAAGCTGGGTGAATCATTTGAGGTTGGGAGTTTGTGATCAGTCTGGCCAACATGGTGAAACCCCATCTCTACTAAAAATACAAAAATTAGCTGGGCGTGGTGCCAGACACCTGTAATCCCAGATACTGGGGAGGCTGAGGCAGGAGAATTGCTTGAACCTGGGAGATAGAAGATGCAGTGAGCTGAGATTGTGCCACTGTATTCCAGCCTGGGCGACAAGAGTGAGATTCCATCTAGGGAAAAGAAAAGTTTCCATTCTCAAATAGGAACAAAAGAATGACCCTGAACAAAAGCTTTACTTAATTTCCTTTTGTCCTCAACCACTCCTATTAACAAGCAGGCTGTAATTAATAACAACTTATATGTCCAGCACATCACAGTTTACAAACTGCTTTTCCGATTCTTTATCTGATTTCCTCCCAACCACACTTCTAATTACTCATTCAACCAACATTTCTGGGTGCTACCTAAGTGCCAGGCATCACAGTTTATAAACTGCTTTTCCAATTCTTTATCTGATTTCCTCCCAACCACACTTTTAATTACTCATTCAACCAACATTTCTGGGTGCTACCTAAGTGCCAGGCATAGAGGAAGTAAACCACCACCCACACTGGGTTAGTGCACAGGCTCTGTGGTTAGGCGGCCTGGATTCAAAGTCCAACTCTATCATTTATTAATTCTGTGTCCCTAAGTGTGTCTTCTCTGAGCTAAATTCGAAAATCACAACTTTTGCTAATTCTTCTTAAACGAATATGCTTTTCCCTCTCTTAGGCAAGAAATGGGAAATTGCCAAGCCCTTGAAACACAACCAAGCAGATGAAGAAAAGATGTATGAGTAAGTTGCGGGGAAATCCTTACGCTTTTTACTTTTGAGACCTGCCTGCTCACTTCCACTCTTGCCCCTCCACTACTGAAACAGAATGACATCACATTTCCTGTAGAGCTGGTGAAACGTCACACCTGCCAAATCTCCACATATGGGCAGAGACTCAGGAAGGATGTTGTGGATGTAGGGCAGGTCCTCCCTCCTCTCATCTGTCTCTCTCTCTCTCTCTCTCCCCCTCCCTCTCTCTCTCTCTCTCTCTCTCTCTCTTGTTTTTTCCAAGATGGAGTCTTGTTGCCCACGCTTGAGTGCAATGAAGCAATCTCGGCTCCCTGCAACCTCCACCTCCCAAGTTCTAGTGATTCTCCTGCAGATACTCTTTTTTTTTTTTTTTTTTTTTTTTTTGGGACGGAGTTTCGCTCGTTGCCCAGGCTGGAGTGCAATGGCACGATCTCGGCTCACCGCAACCTCCGCCTCCTGGGTTCAGGCAATTCTCCTGCCTCAGCTTCCTGAGTAGCTGGGATTACAGGCACGCACCACCATGCCCAGCTAATGTTTTGTATTTTTAGTAGAGACGGGGTTTCACCGTGTTGACCAGGATGGTCTCGATCTCTTGACCTTGTGATCCATCCGCCTCGGCCTCCCAAAGTGCTGGGATTACAGGCTTGAGCCACCGCGCCCGGCCCCAGATACTCTTATTAGGCAGGATAGTCCAAGGGTTTAGAGATTATTTCCCAGGGGCCAGTCAAGGGTCAGTCCTTTCTTTGGAATATACACACTATCTAAAACAAAACCTATGCTTGGAGTGAGGTGCAGTGGCTCATGCCTGTAATCTCAGCATTTTGAAAGGCCAAGGTGGATCACTTGAAGTCAGGAGTTCAAGACCAGCCTGGACAACATAGTGAGACCCTGTCTACAAAACATTTTAAAATCTATGCTTTTTTTTTTTCTTATTATTTTTTTAAAAATAAAGACGGGTTTTCACCATGTTGGTCAGGCTGGTCTTGAACTCCCGACCTCAGGTGATCTGCCCACCTTGGCCTCCAAAGCGCTTGGATTACAGGCATGAGCCACCACACCCAGCCAAATCTATGCTTTTCTAAAATGACTTTTGTTGTAGCTTCAGGGGTCCAGCAAATAAGATCCCCCTGCCTCCATCAATTCTGATCCCCTTCAGGAATAAGATAAATGTGTCAGGCAGCCAGGTGGCTAAAATATTGCCTTTATTAAGAATAAAAATTGGGCTGGGTGCAGTGGCTCACACCTGTAATCCCAGATTTTGGGAGGCTGAGGCAGGTGAATCACCTGAGGTCAGGAGTTTGAGACCAGCCTGGCCAACAGGGGTTTAGTAGAAACCCCATCTCTACTAAAAATACAGAAATTAGTCAGGCATGGTGGTTTGTGCCTGTAATCCCAGCTATTTGGGAGGCTGAGGCAGGAGAATTGCTTGAACCCAGGAGGCAGAGGTTGCAGTGAGCCAAGATCATGCCACTGCACTCCAGCCTGGGCAACAAGTGAAGCTCCATCTCAAAAAAAAAAAAAAAAAAAAAAGCAAAAAAATAAAACTCGGATTGGCTAAGGGCAGTGGTTCATGCCTATAATCCCAGCACTTTGGGAGACCGAACTGGGAGGATGGCTTTCAGCCAGGAGTTCGAGACCAGCCTGGGCAACATAGAGGAGGCCCATTGAAAAAAATACCAAAATTAGCCAGGTATGGTGGCATCTGCTTGTAGTCTCAGCCACTTGGGAGGCTAAGGTGGGAGGATCACTTGAACCCATGAGGTCGAGGCAACCATGAGCTGTGATGGTGCCACTGCTCTCCAGCCTGGATGTCAAAGCAAGACCCTGTCTCAAAAAAACAAAACATAAGCAAACAAAAAAGAATAAAACTGGTTCTTTTCTGTTAGCTAGCGAGTTTCCTAATTTAGAACTGGGCGACTTTCCTGACCAGTTCACAGGCAGCTCCGGAAAACCTCAGGTCTCCCCCACTGAGCAGACCCCTTTCTCTGAATGGCAAAGATGGGAGCACGATTTGTGATTTCTATAGTGAGGCCAGCACTAGAGGAGAAAGTGAGAGGAGCCAGACTTTCCCCAAATTTAGCAGTCAGATGAATTGCTTTCTTCTCTTAGGAAGAGCTACAGAGGGATGGTGAGAGCCACCAGTAGAGCTCTATCCCCATGTCTCCGCCTGCACTCACCCCAATAACCTAAAAATGTTTATTCATTCCCAGGGGGAATTTATAGCATATAGGAATCAAATCAGTGTACCTAGGGGGATGGAGGCCCAAGTAAGGATGCTTTCTTAGAGTTTACCCTTTAGTTAAAACTTCTTACCAAAGTAAAATATAAATACAGAAAAATGGACATAGTAAGTGCACAACCTGATGAATTTCCACAAACTGAATAGACCCAGATAACTGGCACCCAGATCAAGAAAACAGGATGTTACTGACACTTCAGAGGCTTATTTTATACAGTCTTTCAGCTGTTACATCCCAAAGGTAATCACTGTCTGTGATAGCATAAATTAATTTTGGTTTTTATGCATTCTATTAATGAAATCATATAGTACGTATTATTTGGTGTTTGGCTTTTTTGCTCAACATCATTTTTATGAGATTCATTGTATGTAGTTGTAGATTGTTCATTCTTGTTGCTATAGAATATTCCACTGTGGGAGTACACTACATTTATTTATGTATTTATTTTGAGACAAGGTCTCACTCTGTCAATCAGGCTGGAGTGCCATGGTGCAATCATAGCTCACTGTAACCTCAAACTCCTGGGCTCAAGTGATCCTCCTGCTTCAGTCTCCTGAGTAGCTGGGACTATAGGTATATGCCACCACACCTAGCTAATTATTTTGATTTTTTTGTAGAGACAGGGTCTCTACAAAAGAGAGACAGCGTCTCTCCCTTTGTTGCTCAGGGTCTCCCTATATTGCCCTCAAACTCCTGGCCATCTTCCCTCTTTTGCCTCCAAAGTGCTGGGATTACAGATGTGAACCACCTTGCCCAGTCTCTATACCATAATTAATCTATGCATTCTACTGCTGATAGGCATTTTGGTAGTGTGATGGCAAATTTTATGTGTCCCTGTTTCCCTGGAGAACCCAGACTAACACAGGTAGTGTCCAATTTGGAGCTGTTATGAATAGTGTTGCTCTAAACATTCTAATGCATGTTTTGGTGAACAGATGCAAGCATTTCGAAAGGCTGTAGACCCAGCGGTGGAAATGCTGTCTCAAGGTGTATGTACATTCAGGTTTAGGAGCTCATCTGTTTTTTGTTTTTTTGTTTTTTGTTGGTTTGTTTTGAGACAGTCTTGCTCTGTCACCCAGGCTGGAGTGCAGTGGCGTGATCTTGGCTCACTGCAACCTCTGCCTCCCCGGTTCGAGTGAGTCTCCTGCCTCAGCCTCCCAAGTAGCTGGGATTACAGGTGTGCATCATCATGTCCAGCTAATTTTTGTATTTTTTAGTAGAGATGGGGTTTCACCATGTTGGCCAGGCTGGTCTCAAACCCCTGACCTCAGGTGATCCGCCCTTGGCCTCCCAAAGTGCTGGGATTACAGGCATGCGCCACACACCTGGCCCATCTGTTTTGCAGATAGAAATACATCTGGTGCCTACCACTCCTAATCCAGCTCAGGTGAACCATGTGCTCCATGCTCTGAGTTATAGCACTTTTATTTCCCTCTCTTCGGTTTCAGCCATTTCCTGGGCTAGAGAAAATGGTTTCATTAGGGTGCCAATTACAAATGGGATCCGGGACCTAGAAAGGAAAGTGAATGCTTCCAATTTGTAGAGTCCAAGGTTTGAATGTTCAATCCATTCACTTTCCTTGACATTTTATCTTAAATCTGCTGAGAGCAGGCATGGCCCAAACCAAACACTGATTCCCTTTCTCTCTGTCTAGGAATGTTCTTAATGATTCTCCAGGTCAATTACCGCCTCTGCCACCAAGGAGTTGGCCTTCTCTAGAAGACTCTTGTAAGTATATTTTACTGGTAGCAGTTTCATTTACAGTTAGGATAACAAGTTTATCAAGGTGTCTTAGAGAGCTCAAGCTGCTGTAACAAAAATACCATAGACTGGGGTGCTTACACAACAGAAATCTACTTTCTTATTGTTCTGAGGCTGTAAGTCTGAGATTAGGTTGCTGGACAATTTCTGTGAGGTTTCTGGTGAGGGCTCTTCTCCTGGCTTGCAGGCAGCTGCCTTCTTGCTATGCCCCCACAAATGGGCTTTCCTTGGTGCATTCAAGCTGGAGAAGAGCATCAGGGAGCCAGATTTCTGGTGTTTCTTCTTACAAAGACACTAATCCTGTTGTATCAAGGCCTCATCCCTATGGCCAAATATAGACACACTGGGGGTTAAGCCTTGAACACGTGAATTTTGGGGGAATACAAACATTCAGTCTATAACACTAGGATGTATAGATGCAGCATCCTGATTATTTTACTTTACTTTTATTTTTTTCTTTTTTGAGATAGGTTTCACCATGTTGGCCAGGCTGGTCTTGAACTCCCGACCTCAGGTGACCCACCCACCTCAGACTCCCAAAGTGCTGGGATTACAGGCATGAGCCACTGCTCCCGGCCCTGATTATTTTTGAAGCAGAGTCTTGCTCTCTCACCCAGGCTGGAGTACAGTGGTGAGATTTCACCTCACTGAAATGTCCACTTCCTGGGTTCAAGCTATTTTCTTGTCTTAGCCTCCTGAGTAACTGGCAGTATAGGCACGCACCATTATACCCAGCTAATTTTTTGTATATTGAGTAGAGATGGGGTTTCACCATATTGGCCAGGCTGGTCTTGAACTCCTGACCTCAAGCGATCCACCCACTTCGACCTCCAAAAGTGCTGGGTTTATAGGCGTGAGCCACCACACCCAGCCAGCATCCTGTTAAAAGAAAAAGCCAGAGGCCAGGCACGGTGGCACATGCTTGTAATCCCAACACTTTGGGAGGCCAGGATGGGCAGATCACTTGAGCTCAGAAGTCTGAGAACAGTCTGGGCAACATGGCAAAACCCTGTCTCTACCAAAATTAGCTGGGCACACCTACAGTCCCAGGTCCTTGGACGGCTGAGGTGGGGGGATTGCTTGAGCCTGGGAGGTCTCATCTTGGACAACAGAGTGAGACCCTGTCTCAAAACAAAAAAAGCGATGAAAAAGCGAAAAGGAGGCAGAATAAGTACTGATGCACCCAATATCCTGATATAAATGTGTAAATTATGTTCAAATCCTAGCTTGGAACATAAACAGAAAGAAACATGTGGTGTCACTGGGCTTCTCACTTCCTATCAGAAAAACTCTGGTTCCTTTGACTGGAATGTTCTTCCTTAAGCTCTTTGCATAGCTGGCTTTTTCCTCATCCTTCACATGTCAGCTCAAAAGTCACCACCTCAAAGAGGCCCTCTCTGACCACTCAACCTAAAGTAGTCCTGCTAATTTCCTTTATGAAACTGGCAGTTATCCAAAATTGTCTTATTTACTTATTGTTCATTTGTGTACTATTTCCTCCACTGAAGTATAAACTTCAGAAAAACAGGAACCTTTCTTGTCCACAACTATTAATATTTACCCACTACCTAGAACAGGGCGTGGGGCTTAGTCGATACTTAAGAAAAATATTTTGAGCAGGGCGCGGTGACTCACGCCTGTAATCCCAACACTTTGGGAGGCCAAGGAGGGTGGATCGCCCAAGGTTGGGAGTTCAAGACCAGCCTGAGCAACATGGAGAAGCCCCATATCTACTAAAAATACAAAAATTAGCTGGGTATGGTGGTGCATGCCTGTAATCCCAGCTATTCAGGAGGCTGAGGCAGGAGAATTGCTTGAACCTAAGAGGCGGAAGTTGTGGTGAGCCGAGATCGCGCCATTGCACTCCAGTCTGGACAACAAGATTGAAAATCTGCCTTAAAAAAAAAAAAAAGAAAAATATTTTGATTGGATAGATA